GCGAAAGCCCCGCCCCCGAGCCAAGAATCAGAAAAAGGAAAAGTCCTGTCAGGCCCCAGGCCCAGCCTCCCTGGCGGCCCGGCCCGCCCCCTCCCTGCCGGCGGCCCAAGCAGGTGCCGCCCCTCCCCCAGCCCAGCGCCCACTCTCCAGCCTGGCCCGCCGCATACCCCATCTCCTCGCACCCTCCCGGGAGCCGTGCGCCACCTTTCCCTACTCACCTTCCCGGGCGGCTCCGCCGCTTCCCCTCTGACCCCGCCAGCGGCCACAATTCACACACACCACCTCAGATCCCGCACTCTCTCTCACTCACACACACACAGCGCGACCACAGCTACCGAGCGGCCCATATATTACCCGTCACTCGCGCGCTACGCGCGCGCACTCGCCAACTTGGCGCGAGGATCGCGAGCAGGGGGCGGGAGGAAGAAAAATCGAAGCGCCTCGAGGATATCTGGGAAGTGTAGTTCAGCGTCTAGGGGTGGGGCCCGCCAATATTAATTGGCGCATAAGAGCCCAGTGCTTGCCGGGATTTGTAGTTCTCTTTATTAAAAGCAAACTGCTGTATACAATACTCATTGGCTGCTTCCGAAGGCGAAATCGAAAAGCGAGGGAGTTGTTCTTTCTAAAACTGGCCTTTAGCTGCCTAATACTTTCTCAGTGTTTTATTCTGCCCTGTGTCAGCGGAGAAGTTCTATGTTTTCTCATTTGCCATATTATCCCTAGACTATACCAGAGTCAGAAAATATTCTCCACGAGCATACAGGAAATCCCAGCATTCAGTAAGCAGAAATCACTAGTTTTTCTTTGTCTCTTCAAGCCATAGTCTGTAGAAATCATTAAATATTTATTACCAAACACTGAATGTGAGGCAGAAAAACGAAAAACCAAAGTCCTGTAGATGAGCCAGACACAGTGGTGCAGCCTGTAATCCCAGCTATTCCTGACGCTGAGGCAAGAGGATCACAAGTTTGAGGCCTGCCTGGGCAATTTAGTGAGACCCTGTCTCAGAATAAAGTAAAAAAAAGAGCTGGGGATACAGCCCAATGTATGACGCTGAGTTCAATCCACCACCAGCACACAGGAGTGAAGTCAATCTAATTCAATGTCTTCATCTAACATTTGGGAAACTTGAGGCCCAGAGAGTGAGTGACTTGCCTAACACCACACAATCAATGAGCCTCAGAAATCAGAAGACTCTGAATCTGACCTAGAGATCCTTTGTGGGAACATGGAAGATAAGCATAACTCCACCGTTGAGCAGCATCTCGACAAGCTTCTTCTCAGCCTTCAAAGCCTGGCACAACTCTTTAACTCTCTTGGACTCCTGAGAAAGTTTCTATGCATGTCCATGACTCCTCACAGGCAATATTTTCAAATGGAGAATACAAGGCACAGTAAGCCTGCTGCTATGCTCAGATTCCACAGCTAGTAAGAAGCCTGGATGCTGGGTCTATTGATTCCATTATTCACTGGATCTCATTGTCTTCTGTTCAGAAAGATTTCCTCCTTCACTTAAATGTGTGACTTGGAAGCAGCAGCTGTTCAAGGCACAAATTCTAGAATGTGTGGTGGCAGTGCTGTCACAGACATTTCACCTTTCTTCAACCCCTTCTCCTACCACAACACACAGCTGTCTTCTCTATGCCTCTGAAATTTTGCCTATAGCAATAATGGCCACTATAGCTTTGATTTTACAGAAGGCTTAGCTCTGAGTCAAGTGTTTTAGCCACATTACTTCTCGTTATCCCTCACTACCACTCCACAGGATTTGCATGGTTACCAACTTTGTAGATGAGAAATCTGAATTTAGAGAGTTGAACCAGAGTAGAGCCCAGGGTTGTGGATCTAGAGGCTGGGTTCATAACCTGCCTATGCATTTCCTCCAACAACTCTTCAGGTAACTGGCCTCCATGCTTCCCTGGGCCAGAATCCAAAATACATAGGGATGGAATTCTGGAGCCTTAGATATCATCCCTCTGCCTGTGATCTCGCCATCCCAATGATGACTTCTTCACTGCCTAGAGTCCTGAAAAACAGAACCTTTGTGGGAACCAAAGCCCAACTTACCACAGCTCTTGGCACTGCCTCAGCCTGTCACCAGATGGCACTACTCCCCTTTGGAAACCCAGTCTAGGACCCTGGGTTGGTGAAGGGAGGGGTATCAAGGAGGGGCTTTGGAGAAGCCATAGCCCAGGAGATTGTGGAAGCAAAGTAGAAGACATACGGGGCCTGTCCAGCAGCAGCTCCTTTGAAAATCTACAACCTGTTACTCCTGCAGCCCTCTACCCCTGCCAACATCCACCAAACACACAGCCACATACCTACAGGCACCCCCAGACCTCTACCCTGGGAAGATGAAAGGGCAGCACCCAGGCTTTCCCAGATGTGCTCACTGGCACATTTCACAGGATAGAGTACCCACATTGCCAGATACACCAGTCCTCACAGCCAATACTTTCACATCTAAGCATACATCAATACAAAGCCTCAAATAATCCAGGGCCACATACCGAGTGTATCTGGCACATTGGTTCTGAGTCATTGGAAAGAAATTTCTTAGTCTCTTTGGTAGAGAACCTCTGGACTCTGTCCTGCCCTGCTGTACCTGCTTCTCCCTCCTTTGCGGTATGCCTGAGAAAGAACCCCTCATCTGAAAGTGGAAGGAGTCATGTTTGCAGGGCTCCCCAGCAGCAGAGAAAAAGCAAGAGAGGCCCAGCCCTAGTCCCAGTACTAAGCACTACAGTCATAGGTATGTCATAGGTACACTTTACCTGTCCCTGTCCCAAACATGCCCCCTTCTCAAGGTAGGAAAATCCACAGCACCAAATCCTCCAAGACTCAAGCTTCTCCCTGCTCCCTCCCCCTTCTCTATGACCCTTTCTCTCCCAGCACCTCCTTCTAGGCTTTCCTGACCCAAGTGCTTCCACCAGCCTGTCTTTACCCTGGTACCACCCAACTACTCCTGTGCTTTCTCCTGCAACTCCCTGGGGATGGAGGTGAGGCTTCTGCCCCATATCCATTCATGCTCTTCTATTGGCTGTGCAAGACTACCACTGAAGTATCCAGGAGTGTCACAGGAGCCACCAAGAATAGGATAAGGCCACCAAGTTTTAGGGGCCCCAGCCTAGACAAAGAGGAAATCTCAATCACCAGCTGACCTGACCTTCCTGGAGGTACCAGTAGTTCTACAGAACATGAGTAAAGGGACACTAGCCATTTCCTCAGGATGTGTGCAAAGTGGCCAACTCTTATCTAATTACATCCATGTCCACCACTCTCATTCTACAGAGGAAGAAACTGGCGCTCCACAATGAACCATTTAAACCTTCATTTTGTCTAATTGCTGCAGCTGTTACAGTCTCCAGAAGTCAGTCCCCACCTCCTGCTCCCACAGGTTCAACTTCATAGAGGAGCCAGAGGCCCAAGTGGGAACTGAGGCAGCAACCTCCATCTCCATTCAGCTGCCATGTACCAAGGCCTAGTCAGAGAAGACCCCCATGGAATATTTAGGATACTTATACTAAAATTTGTAAATCATTTATTTGAAACTCAAATTGAACTAGTCAATGCATATTTTATCTGCCAACCCTAACTCTGAGCCTCTGCTCAGCCACAGACTCCGAGGACTGCATTCCTGTGGCCTCCCAGGGACTCACTGTAATGATCAGCAAAATGGTAAGAAGCAAATCATAACAGCTGATTCCAAAGGAGTCTCATTAAAAATTTAGACAGGTCCAAGCATCAAAACTTCTTTACCCAAAAGCTGATGATCTCGGTGATATCAGACTCAAATTTCCCCTTTCTACCCTTTCTCTAACTCCATCACTAATGTTAAGGACCAAAAAAATAGCATCTATTATTCTATTGGAAAGCATTTGGAGGAATAGATAGCTTAGTGGTAGAGTCCAACTTTGGAGGCAAAACAGACCTGCATCTCAATATGGGCGCTCCCAGCCAGGTGTAGTGGTGTACACCTGTAATCCCAGCACTCTGGGAGGCTGGGGTAGGAGATCCCAAGTTCTCCTTGTCTCAAAAAATAAAATGCTACTGGGGATTTGGCTCAGTGTGAAGGCCCTGGGTTCAATTCCCAATACCATAAAACAACAACAACAACAAAAACTAAAGCTCCCATTTACCAGTTGTTAGACCTCAACCAGTTATTTCACTTTTTCTTCAGCTTCAATTTTCCTAGTGTGCAAAGTATGGCTCTTTTTTTTTTTTTTTTTGTAGTCCAGATTAGACTCAGGACCTTGTACATTATAGGTAAGTGCTGTATCACTGAACTACATTTCCAGCCCTTTTTTATTTTACCTTGAGACAGGATCTTGCTAAATTGCCCAGATTGGCTTCAAACAAATCTTTCTGCCTCAGCCTCCCAAATAGCTGACATTACAGCCACAGTGACTGGCTTCCTGCAACCATGAGAATTAAATGTAAAGTGTCTAGTTTGGGGCCTGGCCCACAGTTAGTGCTAAGTAAGTGATGGCTGTTGCTACTCCAATTGTTCTTGATCTCAAGCTGTCCTCTTTAGAGTTTTTCAGGACTACTTCAACCATGGTTTCTCTTTGCTCCCATTACCGCTTGCTGGAGGAGCTCAGGTTCTCACATTTAAATGAGAAACAAGCTCCACATCAAAAAAATCCTAGGTCACATTTTCGAAAGCACTGGAGAGTAATGAAATAGCCACTCTTGACCACCTGTATAATCTGTACCAGCAGAGAACTGAAAACTGAGTGAGTTAGAGAGTAGAGGCAGGAGGATCTTGTCTAGACTAACTCCTGAAGAATCAAAAATGAAGGGCAGTCAAAAATCAGGGACCCACTTTGCCTTGAAACCAAACATGTCACGCTCCCCAAACCAGCCCATTCATCTTGCCTTCCTCCTGGGGTGAAGCTTGCATTTGAAATCCTTGCTGAGAGCACATTTACTTCGTGGAATTCTCTGGCAGAACTGTGAGTGATGTCATAATCAAAGTAAAGGCCAAATTGGGGGTGGTTATACTCTGTGCCACCTTACAATGGACATCCCCTGCAGAAAGCAGATACTATAGCATGAAGAAGGCTAAATTCTGCCCTCCAGGTACCCCTTTGCACCTGTCTGATACTCTAATTGTCATCCCCACTGACCCTTGACTCTGCCCTTCCCAGTGGCTATGCTCCAGTACAGGTTAGAGGTTGGGGAATTGGGTGAAGGGAAGATTAGGAGCAAGCATCTCTGGCTGTTTTGTTTTGTTTTTTGAGGCAAGTTCTTACTATATAGTTCAGGCTGGCCTTGAACTCATGCTGGTCCTCCTTAGCCTCCCAAGTGCTAGGATTATAGGTGTGTGTCACCTCCCTTCTCAAGCTTATCCCCTATTTATTTTGCCTCAGTTTCCACTGGGAGGAAACAGCAGTGGAGTTGACACTGGGGAGACAGTCAATATTGGCCTTGCCTTCAAGCTCCCAGAAGCCCCTGGAGTTTTGGTAATCGTCTATTTTGTAGGTACAAGACCTTTCTACAGGATTCAGGTATCTCTGGCCTAACCCGTTTGAAGTTACTCTAGGGACTGTTGGGGCAAACCCTAATGAAGACTTGGCTCAGACAACTTCCCATTCTATCAGTCCTTTCATTTCAAAAGGACCTACAGGAGAATGGTCTGTCTAATGGAAGGAGGGTGGTCTGACCCTCAGTTCAGAGCTCAGAGCTCCACTACCATCACCAGGAGTAACTATCTCCTGCCCCTCCACAAACGTGGCTCCCCTGGGCCTGGACCTCTGAGACATGGCTAGATATAGCCTAAATCACCTAGTTAGGCCTGGAAGCCAAAAACATCAGGGAGGGGCATTTCTAGGTGCAGAGGGTGTCCTGGACTCTTACCATGAGGGAGGCTTTTAGAGGTGAGGGTGCCTCTCTGAAAGGTCACATGTTGTTCTTGGGGAAGCCCCCTCCACCCAGCTCCTGGTACACCAGGTCCAGACTTGTCACAAGATGGACTTTTATGAAGTCACAAAGCTGGCTGCCTCCACAAAGGACCAGGGACCAGGACAATCTGAGGCTAGAGGGTATGGACTTGTTGAGTGGGAGAATTTCAGGAGCAGACTTTGCACTCTGGAGGGACTCCCTGGAGTAGCCTCAGGTAGTAGTCGGCAGAGGTCTCTCTGATATCTGGGGATGGGGACCATTTCTCAGTGTCAGTCATTGTCAAAAGGCAAGAGCATAGGCCAGGGATTTAGCTTAGTGGCACCACACCTGCCTTGCAAGCCCAAGGTCCTAAGTTCGATCCCTGGTACCAAAAAAAAAAAAAAAAAAACCCAAGAACTATGAGGTTTGGAGCTGTGGTCCTCGGCTGTGGGCCTGTCCCTTGAGACCCTTGCCGGGGGGATGGACTCTTGCCCCTACTGAGTGCATATAAGGGTCTTAATCACTTATTTTTTTGTTGCTCTATGGAAAAGGTAAGTTAAAATCCCTGAATGAGGATCAGCTCTTCCCCTCAGTGTGATCCATCTTGCCAGGGATTTAGCTCAGTGGTTCCGCTGCCTGCCTCAGTGTGATCCATCTATGATCAACAATTTGAATATTCTATCTGCTCCCTGAGTAGGCATGTGCTGCTACATTCTGCTACATGGAAAAGCTGACCTGGTGGCCTTAGGATTTCCCTCCCTGTTGGACTTCACAGAGGAAGAATGTCAGAATAAACAGGAGAGCACAGTGCCTCTCTCTATATAGCAGTGGTGGTGGACCTATGGTACATGTGTTGTTTTTCTTTTAAAACAAAAGATGTTAATATATGAGTTGTTTTTTCTAAACTAAAACCTCAGTATTCAGGTTAATTGCAGTGTTAGCACTTTGTGATAAATAAGTGGGTTTTGGGTTGCAGTTTGGGCACTCGTCTGAAAGGTTGACCATCACTGCTCTAGAGCATAGAAAGTCCCGTATCCCAAGAGGCAACCTCGGAGAAAACAGGATGGAGGAGAACACCACAACCAGGAAGGGTGGACAGGCTGCCATGGAAGGTCACAGTTTGTATGTGAGAATGAGGAGAGCTACTTGATACTTTCTAAAAAAAAAAAAAAAAAGAACAGCCAGGCATGGTGGCACATACCTATAATCTCAGGACTGAGGGAGGCTGGGGCACAAGGATTGCAAGTTCAAGTACTGCCGGGAAAGTGAGACCTTGTATCAAAATAAATTTTAAAATGTTGAGGATAAGGGGCCAGGGATTTAGCTCAGTGGTTCCACCGCCTGCCTCACAAGAGTAAGGTCCCGTGTTCGATCCCTGGCACTCCCCCCTCAAAAAAGGTTGAGGATATAGTTCAGTGGTACAGCACCCCTAGTACCAAAAAAAAAGCCTGGCATGGTGGTGAACACCTGCAGGAGGAAAGCAAGTTCAAGCCTAGCCCAGGCAATTTAGTGCAAAGGCTGTGAGTTCAAATCCTCAATACTAAAGAAACAAAACACAAAAGGATCTCTGAGCCCGTGGATTAGACAAGATGAGCTCGCCCTCCTGAGCTGAAAAAAATTATGGACAAGAAATTTTCATTGAGATTAAACGGTGGCAGACAGGTCCAAGGAATATTGCGAGGGTTTGATCCCTTTATGAATCTTGTGATAGATGAATGTGTGGAGATGGCAACTAGTGGGCAACAGAACAATACTGGAACAGTGGTAATACGAGGAAATAGTATCATCATGTTGGAAGCCCTGAAACGAGTTTAAATAACTGTTCAGCAGAGAAATCCATGCCCCTCTTCAAAGCGCTAGTTTGACAATGACCAAAAATTGAGTCATACACATTTTCATATTAAATTTTTTGTTAAATAAAGTTTGGTAATAGTCAAAAAAAAATTTTTTTAAATAAAGAAAGAAACAAAACAAAACTGCTTCTAGTTAAGATTCCTGAACTGCTCTTTCTCTGTGTCTAGTTCTGTACCCTGCTTATTTTGTCCTGAAAAGGACACAACACATGGCAGAGATTACAGCCCCTGCCCTCAAGGGCCCATAACCTAGGGACAGGGCCATGATGCCTCCTTTAAAAAGAAGGCTGCCCCACGCCTGCCTTGCAAGCACAAGGTCCTAAGTTCGATCCCCGGTACAAAAAAAAAAAAAAACATAAAAAGAAGGTTGCCATTCCAGCAAGTAGTGGGCGAGTCTAGACCCAAGTGCTATGAATCCAAGTACAGGGCCCTGCATTTCACTGAAGTTAAGAACAGAGTAGGGTCTGTGTCCAGTGGCTTACACCTGTTATCCCTGAACTTTATTGGGTGGGGGGAGTTGAGACAGGGTCTGACTTTAAAGTTCAGGCGGGCCCTGAACTCACTATGTAGTCCAGGCTGGCCTCGAATTTATGGCAATCCTCCTGTCTCAGCCTCCTAAGAGCTGGGATTACAGGTGTGTGCCACCACACCCAGCTCATCCCTGCACTTTGAGAGGCTGGGGCAGGAGGATTGCAAGCACCTGAGACCTTGTCTCAAAAAAAAAAAAAATTTTTTTTAATGGGCTGGGGATGTAGTGGTAGAGCACTTGCCTAACAAGCAGTGAGTGAGCGCCTGAGTTCTATATCCAGTACCACCAAAGAAGAAAGAGAAGGAAGAGGAGGCAGGTGCCAGCCAGCCTGCTGGCAAGCAGGATTTAAAAATGTCTTTAGAAGCTCTTATCTAAGGTGTGCAGTTGATCCTTGAGGCAGAAAGTATATTCAGCCTGTCTGGCCAGTGAGTTGTTTGTCCCCAGTTCCCTTTGATATTCCTGATACAGAGAAGGTTCACTGCCTCCACTGCAAGAGTGTAGCCACCTTGAGGCTGATGATTACATAAGAAACCACTCTGCTCGTGGGGCTAAGACCTGAAGCTAGTAAAGAGGACGGAGGACAGGGAAGACAGACACTCCTGGTTTTCCATATAAGCCTTTTTTCAACTCTGACTTTTAAGTCCCTTGAATGTGTATTACTTTGATAAAAATAAAATTCTTTTGAAAAGTAAAACTATACATGTCATTATACATTTGCCAAAACTCATAGCAAGTACAACACAAGAGGGGACCCTAATTATACTATGGACTTTGGATGATAGTGCTGTGTCAAAGTAGGTTCATTGATTGTAACAAATGTAACAGGGGATCAGCTCAGGGCTGTCTAGAATGGCATGTGCCACATTCTGGGTTTATCCCAAGCACTGCAAACAAAATTTTGTAACAAGATAAAACAATACCTCTCTGGTGTGGGAGGTTGATAATGAAGGAGGCCTCCATGTGGAGGTATGGGAACTCTGCACCTTCTGGCCAATTTTGCTGTGAGTTTAAAATTGCTCTGAAAAATAGTCTATTTATAAATAAAACAAACCTCACTTCATGCGTATGCAAGGATCACATGAACTGAGATATAAAAGGGTTCATCCTGACCCAGGTGAGATTTTCTTTTTTTTGTTAAGAGACAGTCTCACCACATCGCCCAGATTGACTTCAAACTCCTAAGCTCAAGCAATTCTTCTGTCTCTGCCTTCAGTGTAACTGGAATGACAGGTATGTGCCAGTGCACCTGGCTGACCACTGCACATTCAGCCACCACTCCAGGGACTGGTTGGCCTGTGGTCACTCCCTCCACCTTGGTAGGACAGTATCTTCTTCCCAGAGGAGCAGGAGTGGCCTGGTGGTCTCCACTGGGTCTGTTGGAACACTTGCCCTGGGAAGGGATGAAGAAGCATCCTAGGCCCCTCTATTTAGACCTGGGGTTAGGGTTGCTTGAGCAAGAGGCATGATTTTTCACAAACTTCAACAGGATTCTCTTCCATCCTTCTGATCTGCCCCCAATCCCCTGGCCAGTCACACTCATCTTTCATTTTTTCTGCTTTTCTTGTTTGGTTCTCTTTCCATGGTATAAAAGTTTTATACTACATACCCAGGTTAAAGCTTCTAACATTTGTTTGTTTGTTTATTACTAGGGTTTGAATCCTGGGCTTTTGCAATGAGCTTATGTTCCTGAGCTGTCTCTCTCTCTCTCTCTCTCTCTCTCTCTCTCTCTCTCTCTCTCTCTCATTGTTGGCTCAAACTTGGGATTCTCCTCATTCAGCCTCTCAGAGCGCTAGGATTATAGGCACTCACTGCAGTGTCCAGGCTAAGGCTTTTGCCCAGGTTCCCCCTTGTAGGCAGCAATTGCCTCCCTTTGTGAACCCCTTACCTGCTTCCCCTCCCTCTCTAGCCACAAAGGAAGCCTGGAGACCCTGACCTTCATGGTGGTGGCTTCATGATATGGGCTAGCTTCTTGCGTATGGTTTTGAGGTAGAAGATTAGGGCATGGCAGGTCGGCTGGAAGACAGGATGTAACCTGAGCTGGAAAGAATAACAGCATGTCACCTGTCAGTCATGGCCAGAGTTTGTGGGCAGAGCAACTTCTCACCTACTAGATCTGAAAGAGTATACAAGATGGCAGCCATTGACTTAGGGGCCACTGTGATCTTGCTGTTCTGTTGTCCTCCTGTTTCTGCAGTGGCCTGTTCCTCTTCTTGCTCTTTTCTTCATTCTTTTCTTCTTTCTTCTCTTTTCTCACTCTTTCCTTTTCTTTGTTTGCTTTAAATAAAAGTTGCATCTATCTGTTCATCAAGTGCCCTGGCCAATTCTTTGGCCAAGACAGAAGGAGCCTGGAATTATGAGACATTATGCCATCCAGCAACAGTTTGAAGGGCAGGTTGCAGAGGAGGAGAGAGAAAAGAATGGAGGTAACTATGAGAAGAACTCAAACAGTAATGTTCTTCAGCTTCCTCAGAACTTCAGATGCATCTCTTTCCTGCTGGTCTTGTTTGTTTCTTCCTTTCATCCATCATGGAGCTCTAATTTCTGGGCAGGCAACAGGGTCCTGCCTCTTGCTTACATGTTTTTAGGGAGACAGCCCATACAATTTGATAAGGGATGTAGTGAACATCCCTTGGAACTGAAAGACTGTGGAAGAAAGAGCACCTAGGACAGTTAACATATAGCTCTTTATGAGCCAAATATACAGCCTGGGAGACCAAGTCAGAAGAATTGCAAGTTCAATCTGAGCCTGGGTAACATATCGACTTAATGACACCCTGAATCAAAATAAAAAATAAAGGGCTGGGGATGTAGCTCAGTGGGAAGGCATTGAGTTTAATCCTCAGTACTGCAAAAAGGAAAAAAAAAGCCAAATCTATATGTTTTAAATCACAAGCAAGAGATGGTGGCACACACTGTAATCCCAGCACTCGAGAGGCTGAGGCAAGAGGATCACTGCCATTTTGAGGCCAGCCTGGCCTACATAGTCTAAAGCCAGCCTAGACTACATAGTGAGAACCTGTCTTAATTAATTGAGACAGACAGATACACTTACATAGAAAACAAATCGTTTGTTGTTTTTTTATTCTTAAGTTCTTTTATTTGTACATTTTAGGTATCCAATATGTTTACATTTATCATTGGGTGCTTGTACCTATACATGATGTATCTTGATTCTTATTTTTTTCCCCATT